ATTGATCAGGTTCCTGTAGGAAAGGAAGGGGGAAGTGGCAAAGGGGAGGCTGTGCCCTCAGACAGCATCTGTATCTTCCCTGCTCCAGTTGTCAAGGATGTACAGTTTTCCTCAGGCCTCTGATTAAGGTGGGACATAAAACAAGCTTAAAACTAAATTATTATTATTTCATGCAGCTGCACTAGAACTGTGTTTTTGACTGTGTGTTAATGGTATACACACTGTGTCACTACTTGTTCATTGTGGGTATTGCATGAGCATAAAGGAATCCTACAAATGGCTTTGTAGTTTTATGTACAGAAGGTGAAAATTTCTGTAAAATAGCCAGAAGAGTGTTATTTCTTGGGAAGTTTAGCTGGAATACCTGCCTTTGGTTACAAACGTGTGCCATTAGTGTTCCTTATGTGTGTGGGGCTTCTTTTTTTTTTTTTTAAAGTTAGTTGTTGGCAGAGGTGGTTTGCCCTCTCAGAGCACCTGAACTACACTAATAATCAGGGAATCTGCATCCATGTTTACTGAAATCCTCTTCCACTGTTTGAAAACTTCAGTTTGGGGATAAACCATGGCAATTTTCCAGTGAACCAGGTCAGTGTGAAACCCTGTCAGATGATAGCATATGGGGGGCTTGTGCAGAGGAGGAGGGTGCTTGTTTTAAGCCAAATTTAGGAAGTTTTGAGGGCTAATAACACATCTCCATTACTGGTATTAGGCCTGTAAATATCAGGGGCTTGGTGTTTGTAGACAGATTCTTGCAGTAAACAAAACAGTTAAGAAATAGAGCAGTGTTTTCTTTTTTTTTTGCGTAGGCCTGATGGTTCATGCAGCAGAAACTAGAGTACTTGTCTCAAGTGTCCACTTCACATTAACTTTCATCAGAAAAGGTGCTCCAGTCACTTCTCTAATCAGCAGTGGCAGCAGTACTCTTGGAGTACCAGGAGGAAAACGTGCCTGGACCACAAACAGAAAGAAAGCAGCACCACTTTCCCTGCTCTGCCAGCTTGGTTTGTTGCAGATAAACATGAGCTCTTCCATCAGTGAGGGAGCTTTCTCCCCTGGATTTGCCCCAGGCTGTGGAAATATGTGCAAAGGGTGAAAAGAAAGGGTTTGGATTTGGGGTGTGTATTGGTGCTCTGCAGCTACTGCCTCTGTGCCAGAATCTCCCCAGCAGTGGGTGTCAACCAGAGTGCCTAAGCTTTGCTATGGGAAAAAATGACAGATTGCTCATATGATATTGCTCCCTGGCACTGCAACCATACCGTGTTGACCTTCCTGAGAAAGGCTGCAGAACTGTTCTTAGGGTTTTTTCCTCCTGTTGGTTCCTTTGGTTAAAATTGCATGAGCGCTTGCTCTTCTGTAGTGACCATGGCCAGGCTTTGTGAACAGAGATCTGGGAAGGGCTCTACTCACGTTTGTTACAAGCGCGTTGGTGGCTAAATAGGCCAATACGAGGCAGGCATGTCTGATTGCAAAAGGCACAGCAGAAAGACTCCTTAGGTGGTATATTCTGCAAGACACGATTCTTTCTGCATTGTCTTTTCTCCTCAAGAGTGATTCTGCGGGCATTCTCAAAGGAAACAGCAGCGTTATAGATGGTGTGTCTCCAGACCTCCCGATTGGAGACCAGAGTAGACCAGTTATGGTGATCAATATGGCCAAGGCTGAGATGTTGTTTCAGGGAGTCCTTGTATCTTCTCTTCAGGGCTCCTCTCTTGTGGTAGCTGGTGGCAAGTTCACCATAAAGCATGATCTTAGGGAGGTGGTGGTCCTGCATCCCTGAGACGTGCCCTGCCCAACGCAGCTGTGTTCTCAGTAACATGGCCTCAATACTTGTGACTGCTGCTTGTTCTAGAACAGATGTATTGGTCACATAATCTGACCAGTGGATGTTTAGGATTGCACGGAGGCAGTGTTGATAGAAGCATTCTAGGAGACGCAGGTGGTGGCAGTAGATGACTCATGATTCTGATCCATATAAGAGACTAGACGGCACTATGGCTCTGTAAACACTGATCTTGGTACTTTTCTTCAAGTGTTTATTTCACCAAACTCTTTTATGAAGCTTTCTGAAGGCACTATATGCCTTTGATGGAGAGATAGACAACAGGTTGGCAATCTTACCATCCGAGGAGATGAGGCTACCTAGATAATTAAACTGCTGGACATGATTTGTGCACTAATTTGCCAATGGTGATATGGGGATGATGAAAGACTTCCTGAGGTGCAGGTTGATAGAGAACTTCTGTCTTCTTTAAGCTGACTTCCAGCCCAAAGAGCTCAGCAGCATCTGCAAAGCAGGATGTTAAAAGCTGCAGAGCTGCTTCTGTGTGGGCGACAAGGGCGGCGTCATCAGCATAAAGCAGCTCCCGGACAAGATGGTTTAAGGTCTTGGTGTGGGCCTTCAGTCGCCTTAGGTTGAAAAGGCTTCCATCAGTGCGGTATCGGATGTAGATACCGTCCTGATCCTCGAGGTCTGCTGTAGCCCTTTGGAGCATCATGCTGAAAAAGATTGTGAATAGGGTAGGAGCGAGAACACAGCCTTGTTTCACACCATTAGTTATTGGAAGGGGCTCAGAAAGTGCATTGCCATATCTGACTTGGCTGTGCTGATCCTCATGGAGTGAGATGATCATTTTAAGGAACTTGGGGGGACAACCTAAATGTTCCAAAATCTGCCATAGACCTTTTCTGTTCACAGTATTGAAAGCCTTGGTGAGGTCAACAAAGGTTACATACAGACCTCTGCCGCAGGCGCAGGGCACCCCCCCGCCCTCCTGAACCTCTGTAGTGATAGTGAAGTGCATTTGACATTTGGGCATGTTTTTGGGCATGATCACCACTTGGGGGAGGAGTTAAATAGTTCATGCAGTCTTGCATTGTATTAGTTGCTTTTTGAAGAACTGTTAAAACTGCGTTGGGTGTGGATATCATGCAGAGAGAGAATAGGACTTCATAAAATTTTGCTAGCCCAAGGGGTGGGAAAAGTAAAGTTTTCATCTTAAAGTAAAAGTAAACCAGAAATTGTGAAAGAGACAACTTAGTGAAGAAAATGAACAGCTGGTGAAGGAGGGACAGATGAAATAAGGAAGACTGAAGAAGTTATATCTTCAGCTGTTTTTCCACACTTCTGCAAATATCAAGCTTGTGTTGCTTTTATTGCTTTGCCAACAGTGCTATTGAAGGATTAGCCTTTCACCTTGGGTTCTTTTTCCTCATTTTCTTTAAATTTGATCAACCTTCAGCTGGCAGCTGCCTTTTAGGCCTGTGGAATGCCTAAGATTTTGCAGTCCAGTTGTAGTGTCAGGACTATCTATGGCTCAGCAAAGTTTTTAGGAGTGTTCTTCAAGCTAACCCTTAGTTTCTCACACTGCTGTCAAACACCTAATTTGGAGTTTAGCCTGCAGTTGCTATGAATAACTTTCTCAACTTTTTCAATTTGAATATCTTTGGCACTGATTCTTCCTGCCCTTGCTCCCCCCTTCATCATTCATTTATTCATGTCCCTTTCTCTTTTATATTTTCGTTTCCAGTCAGGCATGCATTCTAAAGGTCCTGTACCTCTGGAATAAGAAATCTCATTATGCTTATGGGATATTACCCTATTTCAACTCACTTATGTCCTAGGCTTATGTAATGCCCAATGCCATGGCATAAGGTTATTTCTTTCAGTGTTTAGATTATGTATAGGGCTCTCTCTAGTTTCAAGTTCTTAATAAAGTACCAGTATTTGATTTGTCCATCTACCTTTGCTGTAGCATACCAGAAACAGACAGTATGTGGTAAACAATGATGTAGAACAGTAGCTGGAAAACACTCCTGGATATTCTCTGCTGCTTCCTGCAGCAGAATTTCAAGCCCTGCTGGTTTCTCAGAAGGGTAGTATTAATTTGACATGCTTGGATTTGGGATCCTCTGAGGCCTGAAACAATATTTGTTCTTCCATACCTCAGATATGATTTTTGTAGGGGAATAATGTTGACCAGTAACACTGATTTAGTTGGGGAAAATGTGGCCTCTGCTCTGACACTGGTGAAAAAAAAAAGGTTTATTTGTGAGCAGAATAATTCTTGTTACACATGTGGTGCAGCACTCGCTGCCTCCTCTGGTGTGTGGAGGGAAGTCTGCCCAGAGCCAGGGTGGGCTGGTGTGGGAGGAAGCCAGTGTGGTTGTTTACAGTGGGAAAGCTGGAAGGGTTGGAATTCCAATTTGCTAATTGGAAACATGAAGGCTGTGGGTTTGTGCTGTGGAATTCCATGAAAGTAATGCAGCTGCAGTGGGCCCATGCTGGTGGTGCTAAGGAGCTGTTAGGAGAGGAGCCAAAGTTGGAGATGGAGACCCGGTTACCTTGGGGTAACTGAAGGAAAGTCCCTGTACCTTTCACAGAGGAAAGACAAACCTGGGTCATAGGTGGGCACCACAGAGCTGACTGACATTGTTTTGCTTTTTGAGGAATTTGTCTGCATTTTTAAACACATGCCAGGATGTTCAGTTGGGAGTTTTAAAACTGGAAGTGTGACTTGCACCACAAGGCTGTTGAAGGGGATCTTGGCTTGGCTGATGCCCATGCTTGCACTAGGTTGTCTTATTCTTTTAATTGCTTGAAAGGGATGAGTAAAGAGAGAAGTACTGCATTGGCAAAGTTTTCTGTTGTACTGTTCGGAACCGTGCACTTGACTATGTGATTATGGTGTAAAAAATGTGTGTGTTAACAAGAACAAAAACCCCCAAACACCAGCAAACCAGTATTCAAGAAGATATGTTCAGCTGTTTTGTCTAACTCTCCTGAACAGTAATATCTACCACAAAAACCTAATTGTTGAGCTAAAGGAAGCAGGGGATTTCATGATCTGAAAATTGACTGGTAGTGGGACCAAGACTGTGGCATAAACTAATACTTGCTTAGAAAATTTGGATCAACTGGAGAATTGTCAAGTTCTGAAAGACTTTATAAAATAAAGCTTTGACAAGTCATTTATAGTTCACTGAGCAGAATTTGTCTGTTGGGACTATATTGCCAGAGATGAGCTTGCTTGTGTTAAGTTGTTTAAAATGCTCAGAACTGGTTTACTTGAAGATGTAGAAAAGGGCTATTTTCCATTTTGCTAGAAGGAAGTAGGGGAAAAACAATTTTGTCTTTAGAAGTAGTATTTTCTGACCTGTAAAGTGAATATTCTGAGTATCATCTTTGCTCTTTGAAGTTCATGGTTAATACTTGTATCCTAAGATTTCTCAGTCTCTGAGAAGAAAGAATTTTGAAAGCACACATGTAATGTTTGTGCATCTAAAATAGACTTCTGTATATTGCTGCATTTGTGTTGTACTCGAATGTACACAGCACTCAGGCTGCTACCGAGCTCAGCATTACTTGCTGGCTGATAGCAAAATACAGACCAGCTTTGAAAGGGAAACAAAGACCCACTGAACAGACTGTCCTGGGTCAGCAAGGTACTTCAGTGAGTCGTAGATAGAAAGGGTGTGACCTGCTCTCGAGGCTTCAATACAATGAGTTTAGTGGCTTAAATTATGCACAGGGTTGATTGGTTTAGAGATAACCCTGATGTGGTATGATGGACAAGTTTGAGCTTTCAATACAGCAACATAGATGTTTACTTTCACTGGCCCCTGCTTTCAGTGGGGTTACCAAATGTTGCACTTCTCTGTGAAAGCTATCATAGTGATCTGATATTTTTAGTACAGTGTCTTTCTGGACTGGCTGTGCTGTATGTCCAGAATTTGTTCCACTGCTTTCAAGCTTAGCCAATGCTCTCCACAGTTCAGTATAAAATTTCAGTTATTGCTTCTGAAACCTGAAAGGTTTAGTAATATTGCAGATATCCACCTTTCCTATAATTTTGGCCTTCATACTCAGTATGTAGTCACTACATTTTGACAATATATATTACATTTCATTTTCCAAGCAGTGTTTTATTAGATTAACTCAGATACGAAGAGTAGCTTCACATTTATCATGAGTGACTTGCACATTCAGTCAAACACTGTGTGATATTGAGTAGTTTAAATCTCCAGTGTATGAACTGTAAATTAACATTAAAGGCCTCTCTTAAACATACATTTATGTTTAAACAGTCATGCAGAATTACTAGTTGTAATTTCTTCTTGAATGCAAATATATCATCTGTTCTAATGTTGTTTTAACTCTCTTGATCTTCATGTCATGAAAAGAATACCTTAAAATTAGGAAATAGGAAGGCTGAACAGCATAATGGACAATTGAGATTCTTATTGCTATTTAGTAGAAGCTTCAGGTTTGCTTGTAGCTTGTATTAGTAGTTTTCCTAAAAGCCAGTGATACTTCAGTTGTTGAGCATGGTACCCATCCTGTTGGGAACATTAATTCAGCCTCTTGATAGTCTTAGCATAAAAATCTGACCTGTGAAGATGGGAAGTATGACTCCTCTGTCGGAAGGGATGACTTTCTTTACCAAGTAAAGTAGCCCTTTAAGGCATCTGGGTAGAACAGTGTGAAAAGTGTTTGCTATAGACTTTTTTTACAAACAGAGAATTTCAGACCCCAGAGCTCTCCATTTATCACATTGCACAAATGTGAGAAATCTGGGCATAGGCACAATAAAAAAATCAGTAAAACCTCCATACAATATGCTGGAGGGTGCATTTCAGAGTAGAATCTAAGAGCAGAACTGTTGGTGAAGAGCTTGTCATTTCCAGTTCATGTAGCGATTGTGAAATACAGCTTTGCATCTTCATAATAGTACAGCAGTTTATTGATTTCCACTATAATCTAAAGACTGGGATCCATGCTTCCCAAGAAGCTTAGGAAGCTGCCTGACTTACACTCAATACTTTTGAAGATTGAAATCAGAAAGTCTGGCTGCTGAAGTCAGGCCTGTGTTAGCACCCATCCACGAGAATACCTTCTCACTGTGTTGCCACATATTCACCTCACTCCAGTGTGTCTCTGCCTGCCTATGCTGCCTCTGTTCTCTTTTGTCTCCCAGGGCATGCTCTGCAGTGCACAGTACTTGCCCATAAAACCTTACCTCCCTATCCATTCTCCATCCCTGCTTGCAACCTGCTGTGCATCTTTCCCCACCTCATGCAGCTAAACAAAGCAAAGCATGGAGTTGGAAATTCATTAGTTCTTCTAAGAACTTGTTATCATGCCTGAATATTATTTGTTTTAAACCATGTTGAGATTAAGATCCTTTGAAGCTCCTTGATTAGTGTTTAGGGGAAAATAAAATGCCAGTTTAAGCTTCTGATCTTTCATAACAGCATGTAGAGCTTCAGTGTTCAAATTTATGCTTAAAATGGCTGTTTAATAGTCACTTTTAACCAGAAATTAATTAGCCTGGAAAAGGATAACTAAAACTTGATTATATTTGCATTTGTATTTCAGGTTCTATCTGTGATGAAATCAAGACCTATTCAGCTTTAGGACTATTAATGGAGATGGCTTGATTTTTATTCTTTTAGATCTCAAATTTCTTGCTTGCCCATTGTCTTTGTATGCTAAGAATGATCTTACTTGGCAACTCCTGATGCTTTGACTTAGTAGGAATATCATCATGCATAGTTAGTTGAAACTTCTGTGGTGGGAAAAGGTACGTGCTCTAATGAAAGCCTGGCTCTATCTCTGGTTTTGCATTGCTTAGCTGATATGTGCCAAAGCTGATCTGTACTAATGCTTGATAGTAGTATATGGCAACTTAGCTGTATGTATGGCTGACCAGCTGTTCATCCAGTTACTGTGTTTATGCAGAACAATTAATACTTTGATACATAAACTCTCCTCTTGGGATTTTTTTAATATCTAACCACCACTGTCCTCCTTGCTAGTGTGATATTGAGTGCCCGGCTTAACTAGAGAGAGACAAGTTTGTCCTCGGAGCAGACAGTCTTAAGAAATAGCTGTTTTGCAGAAATATATGATTAGAAACAACTCTCCTTGAACAATAAAAAAAGAAACAGTTACATCAAAGCATACATTTAGAATGATCTTTGAAAACAACAAAGCTTTTCCCACCATGTGAGCTTTGTGTGTTGCCAGGCCCTAACGACAAGTGCCTTGAGGAATAACTGCTGTTTAAATAGTGGTCGTGCCCATTCAGTGCTGCCATAAAAGGGTGTTTGTTGCTGATTTTATGGACTTCAATGCCTCCTACTGTCGATATTCAGTTGGAGGCTGCATGGTGAAACCCTGTATGGACTAGGCTACATGTGCATTTAGAAGACATATTTGGCTGGTTGTCAGGACAAGTCTGTACTGTGAGCATGAGGGAGATTTATCTATCAAGGCTGAGGTGCAGCAGTGTGTGTTTTAAGCATTTTTAGATTACGTAGACATTGGACAAGGAATCTTCTGCTTCTTCCTTATAAATGTAATAGCTACTGGAGTAGTAGCTAACTGGATCTTTTCAGGACCAGCTGTATAGAAGAGCTGTCATCACGTGAGCAGGAAGCTATTTCTCTCCATTCCAACTTGCTGAAGACTCTAAGCAACATTCAAAGGCCTGGGTACATGTGAGGGGAGAGGTACAGTCAAGTGGTGAGACAACACATGACCACACTGTATTTACAGTGGGCTGATACTGCCCTACATCTGCTGAGGTCAGAAAACCTGCACATTGTTGTAGGTATATGGATGATAATAAACTACTTTTATGGGAGGAGCAGGCATTTATTTGGTGAAATCTTTGATTTTTGTGCTTAGTACATTTTTCTGGCCTCTTGTTCACATAATAGGATCTTTTGCTTCTTTGTTGTTGTCTTCTTTCTTGTCATTAACGTTTCCCTGTTCATGCCGGAGAATTCGTCTGGGGTTGAAGCTGGAGTTTGTACCCTCCTAATCCCAGATCTCCTTCTTGAATATCTTCCTGGCCTGTAGCCTGGGTGGCGCCTGTCCTGTCCTGTGCTGGCACTGGTATGTGAGCAGATGATTCATAGTTTTCCATTAATTCATCATTATTTATGATATAATCTGTGTCACCATCCTTGAGTTGATCCTGTATTCAAAGAAAAAAATCTATGTAAGAGAGACTCTTGAGGAGGATTTTTGTTAAAGCTTAAATGAAGAACAAGTCTAGTGCAATTTTGCTTCCATTTTGTTTCATTATTTGCTTTTTTTTTTTCCAGGTGTTCATTTACCATCTTATTGTTGATTAAAGCAAATAGTTGCCTATCATGTTCTGCACTTGAGCAGTGTTGAAAAATATAACCTGCCCTTCAGATATTTTAGATAATTTTAATGCTTGAATATCGTTGATGGGTAGCCAATACTTTCAGCATCTGGCTGAATAATTTAGAATGTATCAGTCATATTTGAAACTCACAGTATTTAGTGGCCAGTAGTGGAAATGTAGCACTGTACCTTCTGAGACCTCTTCTCCACAACTCTGAAGAAATTGTATAATTCTTACACTGAAAGTAAGAAGTTTTTAGAAAAGGGACTATACCAAAGTGTTTGATCAAAAGTGGCAGGTTTTGGATAACATCCTGAGGACAATTAACCAAGTAGGTACTTACCCCATATGCGGTGGGGCTGGTCAGAATCCTGGCAACAGGGTTGCACCATTCAGGTAACGTTGTTGTGAGAGGTGGACCAGCGTGGGTTAAGATGGGTTTTAGGTATCTGTGAGGTTTGTTAAAGAATATTTCCTGTAGGGTCGCTGATATCAACATGCTGCTCTATTACACAAAGAAATTTCATTTTAAAGCTCATGGAAATCATCTAACTAAATGGAAATATAGAAAAGACTATCTCTTTACCCATCCACTACTGCATACATTCACCTGTCACCAGTTCTTATCTAATATTTTTCAGTAATAGCAAAAAAAAAAAAACAAACCAAAAAAGAAACCTCAGAACCAACCCCAAACGATTTGATGCTCAAAATCTGTTTTGAAAGGGTACCAGAATGGCTGAAGGGAATGTGTCATGGGATACACAGATGCAGCAGGAGCTGGAAGAGAGGAAGAGTGTACTAGATTGTTTCCTGTTAAAATTGCATAAGAGATCACACTTCAAACAAACAGTAGACCAGAAGAATAAACAGGACAATCTAAGATGCCACTCTATCAGCCAATTTATGTAAGAACAGTAGGGAACATTTTCTTACATATACTCGATCTTTTGAAAAGTCAGTGTATTTCTTCAATAGACAAAGTGTATTTCATCAAATATTAAGTTTCTTTATTGCTGGGAGTGTTCGTAAGCTGTTCTCTGTAATACTTTATTTTCAGCATTCAACACATTTGTTTTACACTTGATACATCAATGCTTCTTTATATAAAATTAAGTAAGAAAGAGGCTTTGTGCTATTGTCTCACACCTGTCTTTCTAGTCTTTTCATCCAGAAGTGCTTTTCTGAGATAAAAGAAAAACCCGTTCATCTCGAGCAATTACATCATCTGCGTATCTGTCAATACCAGCTCTCCCGTGAGTCCCTCAAGCCGACTTATCTTCTCTGCTACTTTTACTCTCAAAGTAATTTTCAGTGTTCTTTGGCAAGCAGGTCTGTCAGCTATTTTTGCTGCTAGGAAAAATTTGCTTTATTGATTTGTCGTCCCACTTTCTCTGCCCTGCTCCTTTCTCTTGCTTCCTTGCTTGTGCCATCTTCCCACTCTTTCTCCCCGCTTCCTTAAAGAAGAGAGGAACAAACGTAACACTGAGTAGCGATTCAAGTTCTGCTGCAGTATTGTAGAAATATTGAGGGAGGAACACTGGCTCTTAGACCTAATCACACCAGTGCCTCCTTTGCTTTTTCAGTATTGGTTGTTTATGGTCTCACTGCTTTACTTATAAAGTACAAATTCTTTATCCTGAAGAAACTCTTATGTAAAATATACTTATGATCTCAGTTACAAATTGAAAGGCCAAATAACTTGTTCTGACCTCTGTACTGCAACCATGGAAGTTGTTCTATAGTGTATGGAGTTTGTGTGTGTGCATTTGTGTATTTTTTTTTTTTTAAAGTTAAGCTGGAGCTGCTGGAAGATTGGGTGATTTCTTTATCCAAGGTCATATGTTGAGTTAGTGTGCAACATTAATTGAGTCTGGTTCAAAAAAAATGGTGAGATTTTAATATTCATATCAGAGCTGTGATCAAGGTGGGAATCTTGTGAGACAAACTGTGTGGGGAAGGTTTAGATTGTCTCATTTCTGGTGGAGTAAAATCAAGCTAAAAATCCTCTTCTGATCAATTCCCAGACTGATTTGAAACCTCCAAACTGCCAAGCAGTTAAGAGCTATTATTAAAAAGCAAAGTATGAAAGCCATCAATTAGAGTTGTTCTGTTTTCAGCACTTTAGATAAGTCTAATTAAAAGGCCAAAAATGGAAAGACAAGCCTAACTTTTGGTTTTTAATCTTTGGAAATATTTGCTTTGTTGTTAAAAACAACTTGAACTGTTTGAACTGAGCTGTCAGACTGAGTGTGAAAAATACAGGCTTGTAGTGGAAGTTGCATTTGATTGTACTGAGTTCTGTCTGCTCTCTTCTTTTATTCTCTTCCAGAAGAAGTAACTGAAGATGAATATTCCTCTACATTTCTTAATCTGATGGTGTCTGAGCTAGACCTTATTTGTAAGGAGTCTTATAACTTCACAATGAGCTTTTATAACACTCTGTAACAGCAAGTCCTGTCTTTCCCATGCAGCAGTAGGGGCTGCTTGCTGAAGCAGGCAATCTACCCAGCCACCACAGTAGCCTTCAGTCATTTGAGCCACTACTACTTTTAACATAAACTCTTGTCTTGTGTATTTAACTGGTTGCTGTGTGTGTGTACAGCGATGTCCTGAATTTGAGTGATTACTTAATTTTGCAACAGGTTCTCTAAATCCCCTTCCTTTTGCATGTGCTCTGACACATTCATTGTGTATTATCCATGCTTCTACTTTGAAGCCTCTTGAGATGCAGTTTAAAGTGAATGCAATTTTCTTGTGCTTGTTGTGATGATTCTGTAATAAATTATTTATCTTTGTTCCTTATTTAACTAGTTATTATTCAGCCCACTAAAGGAACTTAAATTGCACTGGCCTATTTTTCATTGTTTTAATAACCTATGCCATAAATGTTTCCTCTTTACTGTTGACACAGTTGCTTTATAGCATTACAGACATAATCACCTCGTTTAGTGCAGCATAGAAGAGGAAGAAAAATCCGTGTGCTGCACTGGCATTTCAAAAGTACATCAGACATGAGTCTACAGCATTTTAAGGCTGGCAAGAAGTCTTATCACACTCCAGCTGCTCTGGTTGCATCTCCAGGGAGAAGTAATTTAAATAGTGCAAAACCTACCTTTTTCTATTACACTAAGTTTCTTCCAATTTTTAAAGCAGTCTAAGTGCAACCTCTTGGCATAACTCAGAAACTACAGTTGAACCAAATTCATGCCTGCCTAATCAGGGACAGGGAGAAGATAGCAGGAGAGGTTTGCACTTCACCCCTCTGTGGGCAGAGCAGCCCCACCTGCATGGCTCAGACTAAACTATACAACACACTGTGTTAAACAACATCATTAATATTGTAAAGGTGGTAACTTCTAAGTTGTGAAACTGAATTCAAGATACCAGTATTTGCATGTGCATAGAATTTTAATCCCTATACAGTGCTGGCATGTTACCACGCATTACTTTTATAATAAAATACCAATTTTCTCGTTGATCTCCAGGCTTCCACTCCTGGTTCTCATGCTGGACATGGTTACCCTGGGTCCTCTCTTTGCTATTTGACCTTCCCTTTGCCCAAGCAGTTTGTCTTCCCTCACCACTAGCCAGACACAGTTCCTCTCCCTTTCTGCCTCACTGAGACCTGGCCTAACATCTGAATCTGTTTCTCCCTTGCTGGTTCAGCTTGTCTCTTCTGAGTTTGCTTCTGCCCTGTCCTGTGCTCTGCTGCCCAGTAATGAGCACAGAAGGCAAGTGTGTGAACCATGTGGCCCCGAGTTACACCACAGGGAGGGTGTTTGCAGGGGCTGAACAATTCAAATAAGGGCTTGGCGGGGTGTGTGTGGGTGTGTGGGGGGGGGGGGGGTGGGGGTGGTCCTGTGTGCTCTGTAGCAGCAGGACCTTGAGAATTTAGCTCTTGACACTGAGAAGTCGTTTGGTTATTCACACTCCTGCAAAAAGGCCCAAGTTTCCAATGTGATCTAGTTTAGACTAGAGTTTCAAAGAAATGACAAAAGCCATCTTCAAGGTGGAATGTGAGGTCTCTGCTCTAAGTGCAGTGCATTTAAAAATAATCTCCTGAGGAACCAAACCATGGAATTGTGTGATATGCTTTTCTTTAATATTATGTCTGAAACAAACATGTATTATGGAAATCTTCCTCCTGCTTCACAAAAATACAGGAAACCTGTAAGACCCTTTTCAAGTGAGAAGTCTCAGGTAAATTTGATGAGAAGCACTGCTGACACTAGCCATGTTGCAGAATGTTTAGGTTTTCATTATGCACAAAATTCTGAGATGTAAAACCAATTTTTACATTATATTAGGAAGAAAAATCAGAACTTAAAAATTTCTGTGACTGCACTTTGTTAAATTGACATGTTCCTCCAAATATTGAGGATGTTGACAAAAATCACTACTTGTCTTTTTGATTAATTAACATTAGCATGTTCAGATAGGGAAATATACTCTGGTAAAAATATTGTGCCTGTTTTGACTTGGTTCACTTTTCTTTTGTTGGAGGAACAGAATTCTAGTACAGCTGTGACTCTGCTGTGAAAAACATCATAGTAAGAGAGAAATAACTTGTTTGAGGGGGAACTCGTGACAAAAACCAACCACAGCAACAAAAAAATCCAAAAACAAGCACCCCCCCAGCCCCCAGCAAAGCAGCAGATGTGGTCACAGTTGGAAATACATAAGGCACTTCTGTAAAGCCCTGCATTTGGCCCAAAAGATGGCATGAGTTTTGCCTCATCACATAATGGGGTCTCTGTAACTGAAGGCAGTCCCATCCTCTCTAAGGGCAAATTTGTTCACACTATATTTACTATTAAATAGCCCCGAAGCACATGAATTCTTGCGATACTAACCAAAATTACATATGGCAAATTTTCCGGAGAATATTCTCCTATATCAAACTGGTATAAGTACACATTTGTTACATGGATGTTATTTGATAGTCTACTGCTGGGTGCTATATTTCTGCTGCAAGCATGAGTCTCTAGAACTTAATGCCACCACTCCCCAAATCCATTTCTGTCCAATGTTTTTAAGACTTCTTGAGATTTGCAACCTTTTGTTTTAGTGTCACCTTTGTGAGTATTTTTGAGTCTGTTTGTAGATTACTTATGAGATTAATTTTACTTTTTGTTGTGCTTATGAAGAAATATACACAAGAAATGTATTGAAGTAAAGATGTCACTTCTATTCTTTAACCTATTTTCTGGGGTAATGACAACAGATGTTTTGCTCTTTGTTCGGTTTGTGTGTGCTGGTTTTTTTAAAGGCTGATTTGGTATTAGCTATGTGTTAGCCTAAAGATCAAAAATTTCCACTTTGGTAGTGTTTGAGTGGGAGCAGGGAAACCATGAAACTTTTATCTGACTGAGTTCTGCACGTGGCTGACTCCTGCTACCAGCTGACTGAGATTATTTGTGTACTTTATAGCACAGCTTGTGTGCGT